GAGCATAAGTTAGATAAAGTTTTATCTTACTGAAGTTCAGATTCATACTCGCTATTGCAACCATAGTGGCTTGCAATAAAAAAAACCTTCAACACAAAAAAGTAAAAGTCAAATTTAAAGCAGAAAAAATGAGCAACAATTAAACCGAGGCAGCAGCATTAAAACTTCTGCATAAACAGCATAAAACAGCAGGACATTTATTAAAAGCTAGTCTGAATTTTTAGAAAAAATCTCTCTTCCTGACATTTAGCAGATGGCAGAGTGCTTGGTGATTCTGTACTGGGAGAGAGTCCCACCATCATGGAGCCACCATTACAAATATGTTCCTGTGTCTTGTATGTGACATTACATATGGCTCATGTGACATCATACATGGATTAGGACAGAGAGCAGAGCCTCTAGTACAGTCTTATAGGTCTGACAAGTAAAGTGACAAATACACATATCTACAGAATATTCAGACTTCAGTCTGGCTACTTTTAGAGCAACAGTTTCAATTATCACAGCCCATGCTGAATGCCAGGGAATGACATCATAGACTCCTAAATTTAATGTGATGCTATCTTAGGTGTGTCAGGAAATGTGTCCACACTTACCTGACAAATCTGTCTACTAGAAATATTATGGCTGGAAAAACGTTAGCTAAATAATTGGTGCTTTCAATGCAAGTGGAAATGTTTCCAAATGAAGGTGATATCTCGCTGGGAAACTGCCATTCATCTACCAATATCTGCTATTAAAAATCTCAGTGCAACATATATAACTTAAAAAGGTGGTTTGGGGCCAAATTAGATGTGCCATTAATGTATGTTTGTAGCTGCTGGGGGGCAGGGAGGGGAGGTTTCTAATGACCAGGACTAACCCTCCCCTCCCCTTCTGCCATCTTGATGAAAGACACTTACTACCTCCCTATGCTGTTTGTGTGGGGGGAGGGGATTCCCACTATGGAACCAATGGGAAATTCCAGCCAAATCCACATAAAAGTGATTTTAAGCCTCCCCTCCTGCTGCAATCCAATGTATTAGGCGCTACCCACACCCACTATACCTGACTGCTATTTGCATTAAACACCAGCACACTAAATACAAAGACACATTTAATGTCAAGCCTGGCATGGCTTCTAACCTCTTGCTGAAATCACAGCATTCAGGGTACAATATACATGGTGTGTCCTATTGATTACACACACAGCTGCATGCACCACTGAGTACCTACATATGTCCTATCCCAGGAGAAGGGAACCTTGTCTTTTAGTCCATGGGCCACGTTTACTCATGGGGAAAACTTTGGGGGCTGCCAGAAGTGGATGGAACCAGAGGCAAACATGGGAGAGGGTGTGTGAGTTTTGAGAGCCGTCTAGAAAGACTTGAGGTTTCTTATCCTGCCAGACCCCCCCCAATTCACACACACACACACACACACACACACACAGGCTTACTAAATTTGGAAATGGATCTAGATTACATTAGTTTAGTCCTATGCTGAATGGATTTTCCCAGTTGTCATGGACTTCCATCTATGCTGACTTCTACCAAACCTTAGCAAAACAACATCTATTCATCATCTGAAGAGTGACTTCTATTTCTATAGACTACCTGCCTGTGACTGCTGGGACAAGCATGTAGTTGGGAAACAACCCTTTCCCCTAAAAATAAAAAATAAAGATTCCCACACCCTGTTTGCCTCTCAAAATTTAATAAATTGCTTTTCTAGAACATCTCTCATTTCGCCAGAATGCCTTAGCTCATGATGGAAACAAGTAAAGAGATTGTCCGAGTCACTGATATAAAACACACACCGCAACACAAAAACCCTCACATACAGCATTTGGATAATTCTTGGGCTGCACAGTATTAGTTTGAGAACTGGGAGTCAGTCCAAACAAATGTTGCATGTGGAAGCCAAGAGGCCATTCATCTTAAAAGCCACCATGTTGCTCACCTGCCCCTCATTAGCATTGCACGGCTGTTCAGGCAAAGCCAACAATAATATGCCATTTGAGCAAGAAGCTGTTCCATCAAATTGTACTAAGTATGCTAAACAAAGAGCAATCAGCCTTCGAATATGGGACAGCCGCCACTTCCCAAAAACACGTACTTAAAGCTTTTTAAGCCACTTTCTTTAATTTGTTTGCAAGAATATTGCTCCAAAATACTCAGTGCTACTTAGGTACAGCGTGCTGGGTCCAGTTAGTAGTAGGTAGTATTGGATGAATGTCCTATTACAAGAGCTTTTCACATGATCATTAGTAACATAATTAAATACGCTTTAGAAATCAGGAAAGGGAAAAGGCTTTCCCACCCCTCCTCCCAGTGCCAGTTATATTTGGTTGACATACAGCAGAAAACACCAGGAGGCGAAATGTCAGTTGCGACTGATGCGTACATGGTGAGAAGGAACATACTGTTAGAACATAGTCTGAATTGCGAATGATTCTCAACAGGAGAGGACCAAAATAGTTTCTCACCTCTAGTATCTCACTGCGCAGCACAATATGCTTCCATCATACACCATGTAAACCTTTCTTAGAAAGTGTGTTATACAATGGAGACCCAATGCCAGGCTGACTTTGCCTTGCCTCCACTGAACAATAGCCAGCTAGGTATCAATGGGGCAAAGAATGCATGCGATGTTCCCATCTGCAGCAAACACACAGCAGAACCCCCATTGCACAAACATCAATTATTCAGAATTCCCAATAACTGCAATCCATTTTGCATCCCTCACTTGACCTCCATGAGCAATGCAACCTGGCAAGTATACTTAGCTTTTGTATCTTCCCCTGGTGGCTGTACAGATGAAGGGAAGTTATAAATATTTTACATACATAACAAACAATACCTTTTGGAGACCACCCCCTCCACTGACAACCCCCACTTTTAATAAGCAAGGTTGCATTGCAGATTGTAACTGCATCTGCAGCATGCCTCTGAATACCACATACTGGGAACCAGAAGTGGAAAGAGTGATGTTGCACTTAGGTCCTGCTTAAGGTCTTTCCATAGTGATCTGGTTGGCTCCTGTGAGAATAGGATGCTTGTCTAGATGGACCTTAATGTGTTTTCTTATCTCAGTGACTGGAAATTGCTGAGATAGGGTCTTTTTTACTCCCTAGGGCAGGGGTAATAAACCTGTAGCACCAAGTGTTGTTGGAATCCAGCTCCCATCAGCCCCAGTTAGCAAGGGCCAATATTCAGGGATTATGGGAGTTACAGTCAAAACAACATCCAGAGGGGCACAGATTCCCACTCCTGCCCTAGGAGATGGCCAATCCCCTGAAATGAAGTAGAAAAGGAGCTTAGCTTGCCTTTCTGTTAAGAGTGAACCCTTAAGACTTCCTAATGCAAATTAAGATTTCCTAGTGCACATTATTAACATGAGAACTGTGCAGAAGAGTTATATTTATTGTATTCGTTTTGATGGGGGAATGGAATGGTGTACCCTGCCCCTGTTCTTTTATGCATTCAGCATAGCTTGTAACAGAGCATACTGCATCAGCATAGATATAGTACATGTGACTAGGGATTCAACTGCAGGGTTCTCTATGCATGCAATCCAGCTTTCACTTACCTGGAGTCCTCTGGATTTTTTGGACTACAACTCCTATCAGTCCCATCTAGTTGTAGTCTGAAACACCCGGAGGGCACCAGGTTGGCAAAGAAGAAAGTCTCTCAGAAATGATGATACCCCTCACCTCTCCAAGGGTATTCCTAACCAAGCTCATAAGGTCTGTGCAGCCTTGCAACGCTTGAACCACAGTCATGCTTATAATTAGGGCAGTTAAAAGAGAGCTTTTTCCTACCAGAACATAGGTGAAATGAGAATTCTCAATCTCATTAGTGCTATTGAGAATAATGAAACTGGGGGTAGTTACTCCCATTCACATAAAGCCACATGCAACAATGTGTCTCCCCAAGGACATAAACCATATGCTACACAACCTGCTAGTGTTCACTTTGTACCTCAGTTTAGGAGCAGGCACATCAAAGGAAAAGGAGGGCCCCCATGTGCTCACTCTGCTCTTCAAAGTTCCTGAGGTAGTTAGAGAGAAAATAACTTCTGAGAAAGGATGGTTCTGTTAGGAATCAGAGAGAAGAGTGGGAGACAGAGAACACAATTTCTTAAATTATTCTGGGTTGGTGGTTGTTCTTTTAATCTGGATGAGTCAAGGGTGTACATGCACATTTCCCTAAAATGGGAATGAATGTTATAAAATACATAATCCACACTGAGGGATGTCACACAAGCAAAGGGGATGTTTTGATCACAGCATTTGCAACATGCCTGAAGATTCTAAGGACCTCACAATTCTATGGTCTAGGAAACCCAAACCATCTCCACAGTTCCTGAAGCAAGAAGGAATCTATCCCCCCCACCCTGCTTTTAGCAACTGTTAGTCCCCAAAACAGGTCAAGCATCCTGCCTTCTCCTTTTAGTCCACTGAGGTGCAAAACAAACAAGGCAAATGGTAGACAAACCAAACCCACAAACAAAAGTGCAAGGAACTCAGAGGGGCCCTGACATGATTGGGTGTGCCTCCACTATGGCTGCTGGTTTCACAGAGTTGAACAGGGCAATGAAGCCATATAATTGCATCTTTACTGAAAGGCATGACCCTTCTGTTCTCTAACACACAAACACCCACACACACACATAGAGAGAGAGCGAAAATGGCAGACCGTACTAAAGTAGGATGTACTTGTGAGTTCATACTAGGCTAGGGATGCAGAACTTGGACCCCTCCAGAGATTGTTAGATTTTGACTCTCATCAGTCCCAATGGCCAATGGCCAGGGATGGCAGTTACCCATTCCTAAGCTAGGCATTGTCCATGACTGGAAGCAATGTAAGAGCCCAAGAGACTACCTACACCATTTCCAATAATGACATTTCAGTGACAAAACTGGTAAATAGTATAGATTTCATTACTGTGTGGTGGGTAGACAATTACTATTTGGAAGACTGAACAGTGCCAGCAGAACAAGCAGTTTTTGGAGGTTTAATTAAATCAGCTTGACTCATATCTGTGAAAGAAAAACTCCAACCTAGTTCCAAACACACCAGTCAGGTGGACCCTGATCATCAACAAATCCTCATGTGCCAGGCTGTCCATGGGAGTGTGTGTGTGTGTGTGTGTGTTTGCGTGCGTGCGTACACACACACACACACACACACACACACACACATATCTATACTGCTCAGCACTCTCTCTCTGGGAACTTATCAGATTGACCTCTACATAACCAAAGCCCATCTTATCTCCTTACAAGAATGTGAGTGGATTTCCCCCAGCAAAGAATAAATCACTTGAATATTTCCAAAATGAGCTCTACCTCTTGCTTCAGGTCAATTTATTTGTGATCTGATCTAAGAAAGGGAAGTAAGATTAAGAAGCAAACCTCGCAAATAAATTAAACTGCAGAGTTGGCTATTGAAGCTGGAAGTGGGAAATACAGATCCCCAAGAACTGGGAACAAGCCATAAAGTAACCTCTAATTCACTGGAACTCCATTGCTTTCTAAACTCATTATTTAATTTAGTTATTCTTGGAAGACCAGGTAACAGATTGTTTTGTATGCATGGACAGAAAGTGATAAGCTAAAATGTTAATTATCCGTTTTTTCCTGAATAGAAATTAATCCATGTCAAGAATAACAAAAAGGATTATTATAGTAATATTATGCCTGCAGTGTTTTTTTTAAATGCATTTTGTCCAAAAAACAACAACAACCCCACAAACAAACCTTAATAAGATGCTGAAGTCCTATGTTTTTAATTACTAGGCATTTTTATCTTTTAAGAAAACACATGCACACCACTGGCCATATATGTACCTTTCTGCTTCCCTCACTGTCATACTGGGACTGTTTGTAGTGCATTTAAATGGTTGAACAAGGCTTGCAAAGCATGCTTTCCACAGATACTTAAGAACTTGCTGCAAAATATCTTTTTGTATAGTCTAGATCCAAAAATTAAAATTGTTTTGGAAAAGTCTAAAATGAAAGTTTACCAACGAAAACCAAGATCCCAGGCTATTGGTTCCTTTCCCCAACTCCCACACACCTGAAGTCTAAATGCTTCAACATCTAGGTGATGTTTATTGTAGAGGGCACCTTTATTGCAGATTTGTTTTGTATTCATTAAAATAAAAATTACAATTGATATTCAGACAAAGATAATTCATACCCTAAGGACCAACCATTTTTGATGCTTTGAGTGAAGGACAACATGGTGCTCCTCATTCTATGTACATCTTCAGCTGAGAAAGCTCCTGCACTTTGCCTAATGACAGGGACTGGCCTGGGTAGGAAACAGTGGCAAAATGCTGGAGGGCAAAGTTGTACGAACTACTATCATGTGCCCCTTAAGCTAATCTGCTGCTTTTTGGTGAAAGAATCTGCCAGTCTGGTCAGCTTCTGTGCAAGGATTGAGGAGGACACAACAATTTGTCCTTTGCCTCTGGCACCATCCAGCCCATCCTTTCACCCTACTTGCATTTGAGTAAGCCTGCAGATGGGACGTTGGTGTGTGCACTTCCTGCATCTCACCCGGTCGTCCCTCTCACATTGATTCAAATAACTTGCACCAAACAGCGTAGAAAAGAAGATCAGGTGGGGATGAGGGAGGATACAAAGACCTCCCATTTAGCCTACCCCAGGCTGCATGAACAGAGGCACACAAGGGAAACCCGACCCCCTCATCTGTTGGTATTGTGACTTTGTTTTACTGCAGACACGTCCAACAGATAGATCAGTGGCTCCCCCAAAAGAAGCTCCCCTTTTTTGCCTTGTACCCCTAAAAATGGGCCTTCCTCCTGCCTAAAAAAGCTCAACAACTTAGACCTGCACCCCAAAAAAGGGGGTAGATCACTGACAGTTTTTAATTCTGTAAGTAGATCACAGACTCTTGTGAGTTGGTCACCCCTGTTTTACTGGATTGTGTCCGATGTTTTAATCCACTACAAATTATTAATACATACTGCTGAGTGCAACTCCTCATTAGCAAAGGCAAGCTTAAATTGCTACTAGTATGGCACACAAAGCTGTACAGTGGTACCTCGGGTTAAGAACTTAATTCGTTCCAGAGGTACATTCTTAACCTGAAATTGTTCTTAACCTGAAGCACCACTTTAGCTAATAGGGCCTCCCACTGCTGCCATGCCGCCGGAGCCCGATTTCTGTTCTCATCCTGAGGCAATGTTCTATTTCTGGGTTAGTGGAGTCTGTAACCTAAAGTGTCTGTAACCTGAAGCATCTGCAACCTGAGGTACCACTGTACTATGTATCTGCCCTATTGTATTTAACTTAACAGTTGAAAGTGTTATGCATGAGGAAATTCACATTTATAAATGCTAAGAGCCAAGCCACACTTAGCCTCAGAGGCATTAAATATGGTAGGGCTGTGGGAGTGAAACTTGTGGTCCTTACATCCACCTACCCCCAAAGTAAACTATTTTGTAGGATCACACCTCACCATTACTTGTAGGAAATGGGCTAACTGGAATGCTTTTTCAGGAAATAATAGTGAAAGATGTATGCCTACTGTTGTCAATTCATACAAGACATTCCAGATGTGACTGTTCATTTACATGTGCAAAAACATGTAATTAAAATTATAGGCAGAACATAGGGTCAATACTCAACACAGCTTGGGCACTATGACTGGCACGCAGGGCCAGCCAATGAGATAGTTCTCTAGGAAGGAAATGCTAGTTGCTATAGAAACCGGCAGATGGCATGGATTATTTGAAGCACCAGGAGGCAGTAGTCAAAGCATGGCACAGCCAGTTCCATACAAACACAGGACTGCAAAGCCTGGAACCTGTTTGTGCATTGAGACAGCCATCTGTTCAGTCACCTTGTACTTGTGCTTGCTGAGACACTCCACACCTCCACTACCACCTCCCAGGGCCTAAAAGTACCAGGAGGAGGAGGTTTTGACCTATAAAGCCTTAAACGGCTCAGGACCGCAATACCTCAAGGACTGCCTATCTCCATATGAACCTACCTGGACCCTGAGATCATCTCCTGATCTCTTGTGCCTCCTCCACAAGCAGCGGCTCCCCATTTGTGGAACGCTCTCCTCAGGGAAGTTAAACTGGGGACTTCATTATACACCTTTAGGTGCCAGATGAAAACATTCCTCTGTAACCAGGCCTTTGGCTGATTGACATCCGATGCCTCTTTCAAATATGTCATGAAAGTGGGGAGTTATTGGATTGTCTTTGTTTTTATTGTGTATTTTGTGTTTTTTTGTATTGTGATTTTATGTTGTGAATTACCCTGAAATCTACGGGTATAGGGCAGAATACAAATTTAATAAATAATAATAATAACTTTATCAAAAATACCTGCTGCCAGCTTCCTATGTACTGGATTTATTTATGATAATATTTATCCAGCACCTACCTTTCTAATGAAAAGATGTCCCAAAAGGTAGCATATAACAATAACATTCAATGTTACGCAATGTTACCTTATCTGAGGTCCTCTGTATTCATACTTAGTCACAGATTTGCACTACGCCCATAACAAATTAAGCAATGAGATACAGTTATTCAGAGGGAAGATATAGTATGTCCTGATAAAGAACAGTGTTTTGGTTCATAGTCTCTGCTTGGACTTTGCTACTAAAAGTTAGCAGACTCTCCTTCAAACCAATCTCCTTTGGGCCTCCCATTTGGATGGGAGGATCTGCGTTATGCCACAATGCCTCCACAGAGCTCTGAGTAGCTGTAATGTGCAAAACGGGTGACAACCGTGAAGTCCTAAATGATGGCTGATTCTCTGTAAATAATGGAGCAAAAACAATTTCACCCTGAAGTTAGGCAAAGCGCCAAAATGAATCTGTGGGAGGTTGATTTGAAAGGAAAATGTATAAACAACCAGTAAGCCCTTAAAAATTATTCTTTTGCTGCTTTATTACTGGCTTCTTCTTTTTTTGTAAGCCATGTTTCATCTTACATCCTCATTATCTAAAAAACAGCGGACTCTAAGGGGAGTAAAACACAATGAATTTCTCCCTCCTGAGAATAATAAATAATAATAATAAACAAATAAGAAATCTCTGACAAAAATTCAAGCTTGAATGTGGAGCTTCCATACACACTGGAGCTATCAATGTTACAGAAAAGGAAGTGTCGGTGGGTGGGTGGGTGGGTGACACACCCACATGTGTGTCAAGATGATTTAAAAGTGCATTATAAAAACAGATAAAAAAAGTACAAAAAATAGCTGAAGATAGGGTCTAAAACAGTAGAAAATGAATATCTGAGGTGGGGATATTTTCATCCAACTGGAAAAACTTGTCAAAAATAAATATGTCTTCAACTGTTTCTGGAAAGTACAGACAGGAGTCACTTGTTACATCTCAGCAGGAGTATGTGTGAGGTGGGCTTCTGATATTTTTGGGACTTGACTAGCTTAAGATACTCCATTTCATTACTGACTGGGAAGGGACTTGGCAGTGGGTGAGGTGAAGGGACATTGGGGCACTGCCTGGCACTCCTGTGCAGTGCATGAGTCACTCTGACCTCACCTCTGCCGTGCTCCTGATATATCCAGTAAACAGCAGTGACAGTCCCCCCAGCTGGCTTTTCCTGACCATGCTCTCTGGGGCTGATAGGAGCCAGAGGTCCGCAACATCGCAAGGACTACAGGTTAGCTGTCCCACAACAAAACTACATTAAAATAGCAATTAGATGCAAACACACATTTAAAGTATCACGTATTTTGGCTGCAAGTAATTGCAATGCTTTTTCCAAATGAGCAAGCCTCTCCTCTTCCCAGAGGGGAGGGGTTGTGAGCAGGAATCGCTTCCTGTGGTCACAGGGGGCGTGGCTAGGCTTCCTGTGTCACTGGAGCCCTGGGCCCGCGTCATGCCCCTCAGCCAGCCAATCCGGCTCACTGGGGGGCGGGGCATGGTTTAGCTGGATTTAAACAGCCGTGGGCTCATGAGCTCTCATTTGCTTTTCCAGTTTCCACGGATCAGCCTCCTGCCCTCCCTCTAGGTTTTGCTTCAGCTCCTGACCTTGCTATGGACTTTGGTTGGTTGCCTTGGTTGTCGAAGGGGCCTGGTAGGAATTTTTTCCACTTGGCAGATTGGCACCAGCCACTTGGTTTTTTGCCTACCTCGTAGCAAATTGTTACAACTTTGTAAGGTTTGGCGGTTAGGCATTGGAAAATGCGTTGTGTGTTGGAGGGGAGGAAATGGCG